CAAACTGAAGAAATAGGTGGAGTTTTTTTCCCCTTCTTCCATCCAGCGGGCCCTTGAACGAATAAATGCCCCCCTGGCTTTCTCCATATATAATGTCAAGTTGGGATTGAAGGTGTTTTAGTTCGGTTTGTTTTTCCACTGATAGATTAACTTTACAACACAGTTTGTTAATGTTACTAATGATGTCTCTTTGTCTTATCTTTTTGAGTTTAGATGATTGCTTACTTGTCCTAATTGCTTTTTGCTTCACTTTAAATTTGAGCCATTCCCATTTGCTCACAAAAGACATATCCAGTTCGTTTACTTCCTTAATCAACTGTTTGACCTCCTTACAAAACTCTGTATCTTCCAATAGGCTATTATTGAATTTCCATATGGGGTTTATATTAGTCTTGTTCCCCCCCATAGAGAGGGTCAATGATATTATACAATGATCTGTTAAGGGCGATGCTGAGATTTCACATCTATCTACTTCATTAACCAAATTGTTTGAAATTAGCCAATAGTCTAGTCTTGAGCACTGGCCATTGTTGGATGCATTGAACCAGGTAAATTGCTTTTTATTTGGGTTTTTCATTCTCCAATAGTCAATTAGATTAGCCCTTGTAGTCAGTTCAATTATTGTTTCATCAAATGTGTGGAATAGTCTCCTTTATGGTTCCCGGTCCAACCAAAGATCAGGAGCCAGGTTAAAATCCCCTCCAATTATTACTTTATCAGTTGAATAGAGCATTTTCCAGTCCTCTAGGCTTTTACCTAAGGATGAGAAGAGATTTTTGTTCTGAGGTTTCCTGTTGTATCCATATACACATATTAAAATGTAGTTTATACTATTAATTTCTACGGTGACCATTAGCCAATAACCATTAGGGTCGCCTTTATGGTCAATAATCCTCCCAGGGAATCTATTTAATAAAATCATAACTCCCGCCGAATGTGATGTTCCATGACTGAAAAAAATAGAGTCTCCCCATTGCACTTTCCAAAATTTAGTGTCTGCCTCACCTGAATGAGTTTCTTGCAAAAAAACACAGTTAGCCCTTTGTTCCTTACAGAAAAGAAAAATAGCTTTACGCTTTACGTTATCTTTCAACCCCCTAGTATTTAAAGATATAAAGGACAACATTTATATAGAAAAGTACCTAAAACCTTTAACCAATGCACCAATAGAGAGTGTAACGATGAGCAGGAATGAGTAACTTAGTCCTTAACCTTTATAATTAGTGCAAATAACCCCTTAAACACTGTAAAAGGATTGGTTTGGATGAAAAAGGTATAGCAATGGTCCATTTAAAAAAACAACAACATTACCTTACTTTTCCCCCTATTTTCCTTATTTATAATAACTAAAATAGCTACTGATAGTAGGCTACCAAGAAAGGTGACAGGTGATAAAACCTTGTAGAAATAAGCAACAACTAACAATTAACAAGGGATTTTCTCCCTATCAACCCTGTTGTGGTCAGCTGATCAACACGTCCGTTCAGTCACATAACCATGAAACAGAACAGTGAAATTATTTATTCAGGGACTACTTTTCGGTTATCAATCAGGGCGAATCCCTCTTTCAAGAATGCTCTTTTACCTCTTTTTCTGGCTTCTTGAACTAATGGCCACAATTTCGTACGCGCCTCCCGGTCTTCCTTCGAGAAGTCCTCCTTGAAACGTATGTGCATGTCCTTACACACCTTTGCATCTTTCGACTTCTTCCAAACTTCATCCCGCACTGTTCTCATCCCGAACTGAATTATGATCGCTCTCGGCGTGACATTTGAGGTAACGCCGTCCCCTCTTCTTCCCAGCCGGTGAACAGTGTCAACTGTGTCTCGCAGCCGCTCCACAGACATTGGGACAACTCTTGTGAGTATCCCGAGGATGACTTCTCTCGTGTCCTCTCCGTCCTTTTCTGGGAGACCAGTAACCCTCAGGTTCCACCTTCTTTTGTATCGGGTTTGCTCAGCACATGCTTCTTTAAGGAGGTTATTATTTCTCTGAAGGTCGTCGATTCTTTCCTGGAGCGTGCCGATGTCTTCCCGGTTTTTATTTGTCGCAGTTGTGTTTGCTTCAATACGTCTGTCAAAGCTTTTCAAAAGTTCAGTCTGTTCGTCCATTTTTCGGGTCAGAGCTTGTACTGCTTGAAGAATTGCAGCACCTGTGTTCCCGTCCTCAATTCCACTTCTGTATTTCTGTTTTTTGGGATTTGGTTCTTTAATTGGTGTATGGTCTTTGTTAATTTTGGCTTCCTTGGCGGAGAGACCGACCGCCCCTAATTCTTCATCGATGTCGATATCATCACATGCCTCGTGGAGCATCTCCAAGTTGTAGTTGTGGTCCGACATTGTTGCAAAAAGAACAAGCAACAAGATCCCAAAATGTTTTGGTATCCTACTTTTGTCACTGCAGTACTGACACTTCCTCGAGCAGCCTTGAAATCGAGGGTTATTGCATTGGTTAATCACATTTCAAGGACTAATTAAGTAATTTTAATCAGAGCCTGCCAAAATGTTGCCACTCACTCCGCCATCTTGAAACCCTTCCCTTAGGATCTATCATGTACGTAGCCGAGATGAACGTCATCATGTTTTGTGCGCAGTGTCTTCTGGGAAAAAACATATTTGTAAGTTCAACTTCCGTCACGGTCTGCAGGCTGCAGCTGGATATACTTGCTTTAAAGGGCTCTGACACTACCTTGTTTCTTACGACCCGCCCTTCTCTGCTTCTGATTGGCTAGTAGTCCTTACCTGGGGACTGTGCATGTGCAATTTCCAACAAAGGTTTTGTACAAGTAAGATGCATCACTCTGTAGCTCAAGAGCGGAGCGTACAACACACAGGAGCTGCAGCAATATGCAGTATGAGAAAAATACGGTGGTTTTTGAAAGTTAAACCATGTAAACCTGTTCTGGTACAACCCCTCAATAAGATTTTGAACCTGAAAATGGGCATAATACCACCTCTTTAATAGAAGGTAAGGTTTTTTTTCAAATGTGAAAAAGTTTGGTAGTTCAAATGTTTTGGGGTTTTTTTGAGAAAAGTACAATATTTTTGGTACATTTTTGTGACTTACACTTTGTACAAACAATAAAATAATATTCTTACCCTGCATTGCCGCTCCCATAAATGAGAACATGCTTGCCTGGTTCAGTACAGCTGAAAGTACAGAAAGAAAAGGAGGAACTCTGTTATGTACAGTAGATTGTTGTTGCAGGGAGCTTGTGTGTCTGTCCCTGTGTTTACTTTCTGCTCCAGCTTACAAAGTATATTAGCATAAGGCTTTGATCAGATTTGCAGGGTGCATAACTTTTTAAATTGCATCGTTCCTGTATACTTGCTTCTTGGTGGTTTTCCACTTGAAATAGGCAGAGTCTGATTTCTCACATGGTTGAACAATAGACTGCTTTGATTTCAGATTAGAAATGTAATTTAGTGCATTGTGAATCATTTGCAAAGGCAGGTCTTAAGACAAACCACTCTGGCGTGAGCCTTTAAACATGGAGAAAGACTTCCCATCTGTTACACTTTTGTAGCAACTTCTTTTAAGTCATTCATGAAGCTTAAATTGACATTTTTATAGTGAATGTGTGGCTGATTTCCAATTACGATAAACAAAATAAAGCAGTTTTTTTTAATCAGCTAATTAAATTTGTTTTCATCCTAGCAGCAGCCATTTTCACTTCATCTAGTTTGTGTCAGAAAGTTTATGTATTGGACATATTTGTATTAGCAAGAAACACAAAAGAATATATATACACACTACTGAAAAAAATAAGGGAACACTTAAGTCAGATCTCGATGAAGGAAATAGTTAAAAGTTCAAATCTTTACTGTACATTGTGTAATTCATTGAGAACAAAATTACATTAGCACTCAATGGAAACAAACAACTGATTGACAGCTGGATTGTTGCCCCCATGTGTCTTTTTGCACTCCCGACAACATATGGGGCATGCTCCTGATGAGACAGTGGAGGTGTCCCAGGGATCTCCTCCCAGACCTAGAGCAGGGCCTCAGTGAGCTCCTGGACAGTCTGTGGCGCTACTTGGTGGCGTTGGATGCACCAATACATAACGTCCCAGAGGTCCTCACTTTGCTTTAGGTCTGTGGAACATGAGGGCTAGTCAATGGCATCACTGCCTTCGTCATCCAGGAACTGCCTACACACATTCTGTCCACGAGGCCGGATATTGTCCTGCACCAGGAGGAACCCGGGGCCCACTGCACCAGTGTAAGGTCTAACAATGGCTCTAAGGGTTTCATTCCGGTACCTAACAGCAGTCAGAGTACCATTGGCTAGTACGACACATGGACACCAGTAGCCCACTAGTGTTCGTTTTGTAGAACTCTGACAGTGCTCCTCCTATTCCTCGTTGCACAAAGGAGCAGATTCCGGTCCTGCTGCTGGATTGATGCCTTCATACGGCTCTGTCCAACGCTTCTCATGTAACGGCCCGTCTCCTGATATCCCCTCCATGCTCTTGAGACTGCTAGGAGACTTCTTGTGAGGGCATGTATGGATGTGCCATCCTGGAGGAGCTGGATTACCTGTGCAAACTGAATGGGCTGCAGGTACCACCTCATGCTACCAGTAGTGACAAGGACACAAGCAAAACTAGAGAACAATCATTGATGTTATACTGTGGTGATTAAGCATTGCCTTATTTCTTTATTTTTTGAGCAGTGTATATAGGGTTTCTAGCTCATCTCTAATTAGGCCCATCAAAAGTTTGCTTTAGTTATAAAACCGGCACATCACCGCATGGGATGATCTATTGGTATGCAAATAAAACCTAATGAGTTTCCAAGCAGTGACACACTATGACTAGGCCTCGCAGAAATCTGACAATGGAAACATTCATCTGCTGAAATTAACAAGGAGAAGAGACAATTTATTGCAATTAGTGCGAACAATAAAATAACAGCTAAAAAAAAAAACTTTAATGGGTGCAAAATAATGTGGAAATAAATAATGGGGTGAGGACTGTGCTTTTGTGTAATTTTCAGGTTGAGCCATATCTGCCTTATGAGTACACCTGTGAGGGGATGCTGGAGAGAGTACATTCCTACATACAGCATCAGGTGAGGTTCAGTCCATGTCGAGACAAATGTACACAGAGCGCTGAACCAAACACACACATGCGGAGATTATGTCTTTTAGCCGTCGTCACTCCCTCTCTCTCACACATACACCCTTTTCACCATCTCTCAAACTCCCCACTCTGCTCAATATTTCATCACTGTGTGCATTCAACACCCAGAACACTGTGTGTGTGTGTGTGTGTGTGTGTGTGTGTGTGTGTGTGTGTGTGTGTGTGTGTGTGTGTGTGTCTCTCCAGTGTATTCATGTATGTAGACTTGAGATTAATGTACATGCTAACTCTCATTACCAACCACATATCTGCCCTCCAGCTGTAAAGCAGAAGGTCTTCTGACACTAATGAGGAGGTATGAGTAAGGAGACAGAGCAGAAGTGTGAGCATGACGGTGATGATGGAGTACTGTGATGAAAGAAAGATTTTTTTAATAATCCCACACTAGATGTCAGACAGACTGCACAGTCTCACAGCAACCTGTGTCTGCTCCTGAATGGCAACTGGTTTGGACACAGAAACCTCCCGTATGGCATTTATACTGTCGAAAGAGAAACAGGGAAAACTTAAATTAGATTCCCGTTTACCACAAGTTTTAACATAGAGATCAATGCTTACAGTTGGTCAATCTTTGTGCTTTCTTCTTTTATTTCACTTTATTTCACAAATACATAGCAGCTAAGGCTTTGATAAATTATCACCTTCTTTTAACACTTTCTTTGGTGTTTTTACATGTTGTTATTCACTGCTTTGTCAAGCATATTGTTGCTATGTGAAATACAGCACCACTCTTTGAATTGCCTTGTTGAAAGGTGCTATACAAATATACTTGGAGTAGTGTCCTCTTACCGCCCAGTCAAAATACAAAACACGGGAAAAAATCAAGGACTGCATTAAATTTGCATTATGAAAGGATCTTTTAATGGCCAGTATGAACTACAAAGAGGAATGATTACAGCAAGAAAAAAACAGTTTTAATGTTTACATGGCCATTTGAGTATTATTTTAAGAGAGACTTATAGTTTAAAATGCATTTTACCGAGCTGCATTGCTATTCTGCCTGTAAACATAATAAAAGACACTAGGGCTGTCCCCGACTAAGGATTTACATAGTCGAATCAGAATCGTCAAGTCCTGCCTATAGTCAACTGATGTGTGTTTTTGTGTGCGGCAATTGCGAGCCAGGGGGGTTTACACATGGTAGCTCTGCTTTAATCTTGAGAAGCTGCAGAGCTGCAGTCTCTATTCATTCAACTTACACTGTACATTTCCAGCTAAACAGGCTTTTTGAAGACCCTTTTCTCTCTCTCCCTCTCTCACCTTTCATTCACCAGTCTTGTGTGAGTTTTGCATGCATGACGTGCTGCCGACATGTTAATTTATTATTAAAACGTTGAAATGTATATTGTAATAGGCTGTATATTAACTTATTGGGAGAAAACTGGTAGTTCTATGTAAAATCAGACGTTGAGCACCCCCATATGGCCAAAATGGCATGATCCTTGTTTCGCTGCGAAGCTTCGACTGTGAGATTGACAGTCAAATCAGTCTCCGCCCACCGAAGCATCGAATCTTCGACTGTTGGGGGTCAGCCCTAAAAGACACAATATTAGTTATTCCTCCAACAGTCCTCAATATGATTGCGCACTAATGCTCACATATCTTTCACCTCCAGGACTTCTGTGCCCCAGAGCCTCCCTTCATTCCAGCCAACCTCTCCAGACACGGGTCTGCTGGTGGCAGCAGGATTACAGGACCTCTGTTTGTGCCCCTGTCCAATTCCACAGCCCTTGGCTGGTTGTCTAGTGTGATGGCTCCCCCTGCCTGGCCGCCTCTCAGCTCCCTCAGGCTGCTCGTATCTCAAGAGGGCCAGTCCTGTGTGGAGGCGTGCCATTCAGCTGGTTTCATCTGTGAGCCTGCTCACTTCCGCTTCATCAACAACAAGGAGGCCCTGCGCGGGTAAGTCAGCCTAAAGTAAAGGGGCCCACCTGGCTGAAAGCTGTATAAATACAGAGTTGCTGTCTGTCAACCAAACTTTAATGGAAAGTCCCAAAAGCAACCTTTCTTTACCCAGGAACACCACCAACTGAAGAAGACAATCTGTGGTCGATCATGTCTACAAATGATCTAAAGAAAAATATATATACAAATAAAGCTATTTTTAGATATCACAACACAAAAAATCAAGATCCCCTTAAAGAAAAACAATGGCTCTGTATCTGAAATGCTCATTCAAATTCATCTACACAATGTGATCACATCTAAACCCACCACAGTATTTCTGCACTGCCGTTATGGATAATTTCTCTTATATTAGCTGATACTGAGAACAGGTGAGGTTGCATCTCACCATGTATTTATTTAGTTTACTGTACAAGCTGCAGGCAGTTGAACTAGAAGTTTCAGACGCTGCCTTTACCGGAGCTTTGAGACTGAGAGCCAGTGTGTGAGTCTTTCCTCCTAACATCCCGCTCCTGACTGCTTCACCTCTTATTCTTTGCTCACGTTTCATCCTCCAAGTATCTTTTGTGTTTGCTTCTTTTCTGTCTGTCTTTATAGTGCCGCTCTCCTTTTATTTCTGCTCCGTTTCTCTCCCTCGTAGCTCAGGTCTGTTCTCTGACACAAGTTATCTTTCTCACACTGACGTCTCAAATCTGCCTCGCAGTTTTTCCAACTTCCTTGTCACTTCTCCATTAAAATTCCTTCGCTCTCTTTTTAAATTGGCATCTGTAGTGTGATGAAAGTGATGAAATCTCTCTCTTTTCCTGTCTTAAATTTTGAGGTTATGCCAGTTCCACTTTTCTGTTACTTTTGCAAATAAAAATAACTTTTATTACTTGTATTTATTTGAAAGTTATCTTTTGTAGAACACGCCAACAAAATATTAGCATGTTTACAGACCTCTGCTCCTCTGTTTCACCCCTCAGGTTGGAGGTGCAGTGCGAGGTGGTAGACTCTGAGATCAACCACATCCTTCCAGCGTTCTCGGTGGTGCGGCGGGAGTGCGGTCTCCAGCGGGAACCCCTCCTCTTCAGCTGTGCAGGACACTCCCCTAAATACAGACGTCTTTGCCCCTGCAGGGACTTCCGCCACGGCCAAGTGGCGCTCTGCAGAGACTGTCTATAGTGATGGGGCACATGCAGGACAGACACAAAAGAATTAGAGACAGATTGGTGGGGAAAAAGGGCACCCACAGGCCAGAACTGATGTAGAGCTTTGACAAATTACCTGATAGTGCAGAGAGGCAGCTTCCCCCCAAAACAGTAAATGTAGGATGATGAGAAACAGGCATGCATGGATTTTGAAGAGCTGAAAGTAAGCCTGAATAGCTGCCAGGTTGTAGGTGGGTATTTTGGTTGACTGTTTTTGTGAAAACAGCTCTTATACTGTATCTTGCTGGAGATGAAAATCTGTAAGACTTCCTAGAACAGGGCTCCAGTGATACCAGGTGTTTTTACACCCAGGTGCAAGGGCCTTTGTTACCACTCACCATACCAACAACCTTTCACATTAACACTCAGACTACAGGATAATAGTTTCTACAAGATGTTGACCAGTGATATGACACACACATTTCACTAAGTTTAAACATGTACACTTAAAGAAACGTGTGACTCCAGATAAACTCAACATCGGGACTATAGTGTCATTCCATGACAGAGTCTTCAAATATCTTGTCTTGAAGAAGGCAACCTCGGGTCAATATTCAATCTCCTCTCTGCACTTGGACAAAGGATGATGGACAACCAGGTTTTCTCCCTCGATTTTTCTCCCCTTCTCCAATGATGGGCAGAGTCATTTATCAGACTGAACCCCAAGTCTGAGGCAACATCGGTCAATCATCTCTGTTCGCAAAAAGAGAGAGGGGTAGGACAGAGGACAAAGATAAAGGGTACAAGATTATTTTTCAATAAATAAGCCTTTAGAGCTCTCTACTGGATTTTTAAAGAGTCCTCTGGGCTTTATGATGGAAAAAAAATCATAAAATAAAAAAATCAGAACAGATCAAAGTGTTGAGGTGGAATTTATTTTGCGTCTGGTCTTTACTCATTTCCTTCCCATCTTTTTAGGCTTGGGTGTTTCTTCTCTTCTTCAGGGCTTAAAGTTCTCTGGCACTGTGCCGGACTGTCTATGGAAAAATATCTCTTAAGTATTGCGTAGCAATATGGCTGTATGTGTATACAACCATAAGGAACCCTATATTTTGTATTAATAAAATCAACCTACTTTATTAATAAAAACATTTGTTTACACTGTGGCTCAGCGAAGTGTCAGCTCAATAATGCCAACACATTCTCTCTCCCAACTTGTCACTAATGGAAGCTTGGTCAAGACCCGTCAAGCATCACATGTTAACGCACTTGGTACCCCTTTAACGTCGTCTTTGCACATGCTGGACTCCATGTTCACTTTAGCAATAATAAATATGCAACATCCAGTTAGACTTTCAAAAAGAAAAGCATGGTTAACATTGTAAAAGGGTTGAAGTTTGCTTAGGTTTAGGCACCAAAACTACTTGGTTATCTTTAGGAAAAGATCATTGTTTTAGTTAAAATAAGTATGTTAATTACGTTAAGTTATGCAAGTTAAATTATGCCAGTCTCCTGGGTCCATTGTTTGCAATGTGTGAAGCCTCCTTGGGAGCCCGCAGATCCCGTGTAAACGGAGTAGCTTAGATCGGCACAAGGATTGCATTTAGGGCAAACTGAGGGCAGTTATAACTTTTTTTATGTTGCAACACAAATGTCATCTTTTGATATAAGAAACACTGAATTCACTAATTAATAATACAATTAATATATGTTCCCCAATAAACACAAGGCTATGTTATTAAATTTAATGCAAGTAGTGTTACAACTGCCCCCTGTTCAAATTGCCTCCATCTCCCAATTCCAAACGAATCTGGAAATAAACAGTGCACTTTACTTAGTTTCGAACAGTTTGGTTGTACAATTTGTTATTTGTATCAGTTGTGTTATTAAACATGTTCATTTTAAAAAATTTTCTTCATTTCACCCTGTCCCTCCATTCTTTCTCCTAACCACAGAAAATGTCCTTCCTTTAAGCCCTGCTTCTTGTTCCTACACCCACCTGTCACAAGCCTCCCACAATTCACATTCATCTGGATTTTTATCAATACATCCGACTGTAAGGAGAAACATTTGCTCTTTTTCACATGCTGTTGACAGTGAAAGTCACAAAGCTGTTGATAAGGAGTGAAGGAGCAAGTGACAGAGGGGGGAGGGAGAAATCAAATTTCAAATGCTTTTAAAGATGAAAAAAAATGTCCAGTATTAAAAGTTGCCTCGACTCTGGTCATGTACCCTCAAACTCCAGTCGCAGCTAAGTGCAAAACCTTAACCTTCTTTACTCTGGAAGTTTTCCTGCAGCATTTAGGGAAACAGGAATCGCTAGTAAAGCTTAAAAGGTGGGTTTAGAGAAACTGTCAGCACATTGTGTAAAAACTGAGACTACTCGCTACCTGTCGAATTCATTATCCAAACAAATATGGGGCAGCATATCACATCAGGGCTAACACGGCTGCTGCTTGATGACAGGGAATACAGGACCAAAATGATTTACAGCAGCTCTGGACTTGAATTTGTGAATTCTACATGGCTAAGGCATGACCGCCCCACTCTGCCACTGGGCAGAGTCGGCTTAAGCCTCAGGAGCGGACGCGGACTACTTCTGTACTTTCTGCAGTCAGCTGGCAGACACGTTCCACACATGCGCAGTAGATGCCCTGGGAGCGCTAGTCGGCACACGGACCCACCGCGGACATGTCCGTGTGGTGACAAAAAAACAAGTATATCCAGCTGCAGCCCGCAGACCTGACGGAAGTTGATGGAAGTTGAACTTCCAAATATGGTTTGTCCCAGAAGACACCGCACACAAAACATAATGTTGTTAATCTCGGCTCACCTACAGTATAGATTCTAATGGAAACCGTTACATTACAAACTTCTGAGAAGTTTTTAGGCGAGAAATCAACTGTGTAGATTTTGAATATCTGCAGTTTATGCAAATTGACGGCGAAACAAAAATGTGTTCAAACGTTTTCGGAGTTGAGAAGCTCCACAAGTGCTGACCATGGTGCCGACGGGTGACAATATCACATAGCTGCAGTAATGTTACCGGAGGCTGCTCAGCAACACAAAATGAAATTTTATAAACTCAAACCTCAAACTTATCCAATGTCCGCACACCTATTACTTAAGCACACCTTTTCCGTTCACCTCCCCTTGTCTCGGCTTTCTTATGAGCGTGACAAACAAATGAAATCACTTACCTGCAACGACGGACTCAGAACTCGTTCTCAATCTTTCGGACAGCGACACATTCGACGAGCATCTAACGCCAGATACACCAGAGCCTTCGCCTTCTCCCAAACAACTTCGACCGAAACGTCGGCTGCATTCAGCTACTCATATTCCATTTATTATTATTATTTTAACATATATTAATGTCACAGATGACTCCCTCACCTTTTGCCACCCTCTACGCCACCATCTCATGGCCTCAACATCTCGACTTCCACACTCCACAAACTTGGAGTCCCAGGGTCACTCCAGGCATTCTTGCCCCCTGAGAAAACCCATCGCATTTCCTTGCTAATTCAAATTTCCTTCTGGCCACCGTTGCACCAAACGGCGTCTTCTCTCACTACTAGGCCACTTACCTACACCACCCGGACCATCCCTTCAGGTCTGTCCTTCCTGTCACATCTTTCCATAGCCGCTTCCGTCCCATCTCTCCATGACCACATCAAACTAGACGGCTCATGCAATGAAACTAAACTGGTGTCATCAACTCCTCTGCAAAATTCGAAATTCGGCATTTCTCCAAACTCTACTTGGGCATCCGTTCCTTATCAGAGCAGCCTCCACCGTCTCCAGGCAGGGAATCCCAGACAACATAATCGAATCCTCGGCTGCTGGTCCTCACCAGCATACCTCCCTTATATCCGTTACGACCTAAACAATATCAGAAATGCTCACACGCACCTTTCCACCTGAAGTTCTTTGGGGGTTTCCGCACGTCCGCGGACCAAGAGACGACTCCCCCACCCTGAGTCTTGACTCCACCGGTTCCTGCACACCTTCTCGCCAGTAGACACCGGTCTGCTCTCCACTCACGCATCCATCGGCGTGGATCCGACTCCTCCCCTTCATCCCTTACCTGTCCTCCCCTCAACCCTTCATCCATCAAACCTTGACCCCCTCCCCCATCCCTACATCGCTCAGCCCACCCTCCGGGCACTCTATCAGTTCTCTTCATACAATTCATCTCGGCCCCATTACAAGCAATAAACCATTGTTAATCTTCTACGTTCGTGGGCGTGGTCTTTGTTAGTGAAGGAGGTTAACTGACCGACATGTGCCGGTGCAGGGTAATGTTAAACTGCTCGACATGCATACAATCAATAACTATAGGCACACACCCTGTGATGGTTAGGGTAAGAGTAATATACTTCAGGGGGCTGTCAGGAATAGTTAGCTAGCTAGCTCCGGTTAGCTCCCCCAGGCCCAGTCACACAGACCACTGCAGCCAACACTTGACCTATGCACTGGCCAAGCAGCCAAACGTCATCACGTTTATCTCGGCTTCCATATTTGGAAGTTCAACTTCCGTCACGTTTGTCTGCAGGCTGCAGCTGGACCCTTCCAGGAGGCACGCGGACATCCACACAGACCCTATGCGTACCTCCTTTGATGACCAGTCTCACACAATCCTGTGGGGAAACACTGAATGTGGTCTTTGTTTATAGGTCTATGAGTTTCGCTTAAAAAAGTAGGCCTTCTTGCTCACTCCTCTGGGTAGTTATTTCTGACTAACAAGATCAGGCCCCTGTCTAAATGAATACGGAGAGAGCATTGCACTGCATTGTCATTGGTCACCAGGACATAAAACTATATATAGAAAAATGACTTTGCCCCAAAATAAGGTTTAAAAATGATTTTTTGAAGAGAAGAAGGATAATTACTGTCCCAAACAATGTTACAGTATGAGATGTATGGATACAATAAACTATAATAAAGAGTTAAAAGACAGGATCGATTTACCAATGAACAAACTTTTCTAATGATACCAAGTGACTTCATGATTTTTCTGCACACATAGTCAATATGGTTTTTGCAAGAAAGTTTTTCATCTACTTATACACCTAAAACATTTTGCTGACTTAACTTGGTTGATTTCAATATTGTTAATAAACAGTTTAGCATCTTCTTTTAAATATCTTTAATTTTTATTACAGAAAATTGTAAAAATCTGAGTTTTCTATATTTAATGAAAGTTTGTTCATCTGGAATCCCTTTGCAGTATATAGTAGAACATCATTAGCTTCTCTCATCGAGGAATGGGAGTTTGCATGTGATATGACAGCATTAGTATCATCTGCGAATAGAATGGGCAATGCAGAATCAGACATCCAAGCAAGGTCATTTATATAAATGAGAGACAGAAACAAGGTTTCACGACACCAACTTCGTTTACAGCTCTATTCAGAGTGTTGGCGACAAGATGCCATGAGCTCATCCCACCAGGGCGCTTGAACAAATGCTATGCTAATTGACATTATGGATACAGTCAGCATATACCATAAACGTTTAGAAAGACACCCCGGTATTAACACATATTGCAAGTACTGCATATCAAATCTGGTCCCTTTTCACGCAGGGGTTTTGGCAGACATGTAGTGCATCTGATCTGGTGACACACCTGCAAACATCAACTGTGCACTTACATCAGTGGAACCACATGCCTGGCTTAATATATTTTTTGGCATGGGTGTTAAAAAGCAGACAATTGGCTTTCTTGTAGTAGGGGCGGGATATGTGCTCCAACCGCCATCTTTGGCATTACAGGCTTTCCCAATAGAATTCTATTCAGGATCCTTTAAGTGCCATGTCTTTTTCCTTAAATCGTCTGTGGTAACAGACCTCACAGTAATTATAAACAATAATTTTATAATAACAATTTATCTAATGACTAGGTGAA